AAACACCGGGTGTGGTCCAGCAGTGATGTGGCTGTAACCAGAGTGAAGACTTGCCGGGGGCTGGGAAGCCTCTGGGGGAGGCTCATACACTGTCAAGTGTGAGACCCCTGGGAATATGTTTCTAGCACTGCCATTTGTACGACTCTTATTTCCAGTGCAGTAAAAGCCCTCAGCCTGGGACCTTCCTGGTGATGCAAGGGGTTAAGTCTCAGCACGAGTTTGATCCCCAGTCAGGGAGGTGACCCACTTGGCGCAGCAGACCTCTCCTGCCTCGCCCGCTGCTCCCCTCAGCAGTGTATTTCAGTAGATCTGCCTGTTCTGCTCCCCACTCTGTCTCTGGTGAGTCCTTTCACTTACCCCCGCCCCCCTCACTTCTGGACTGTACCCCAATTCTTCTAAGTAAAAATAAATAAAATCTTTTAAAAAGAACAGCAAAAACCCAAACGTACATACACATGAAAATTTTGCCAGAGTGAGACTTATCAGGTGCATTGCTGTGCACATCCTTGCGCATAGACCAGTGAAGAATTGTAGTCATGGGATAAAAGGAAAACCAAGAAAGGTGTCCTAGCTTGGCAGGTTAAAAGCCTTTCCATTCAGAAATCTCTGTGCTCTTAAGTTGAATAGAAATGATTTCACAGGACAGTGATAAGTGCTCACCCCTGTTGAACGCTTGAGGGGGACTTTGAGGCACACATTTGCTTGCTCTGAAAAGGGAACTGAAGACCTGTTTTTCTTACCCAGGGATGAGTTCTTTGTTTGATAAGATGGCTAGAGAACACTAATAAGTGCTGTGCGGCCTCACCCAGTCAAGTAACAGCTATGCTATGTCTTGAGGCTAATAAAGAAGGCCCTTCTGAAGGAGGTATCAGTTATTATAGTTCTGACCCCAGGGCCTGATGTAGATGCAGTTTCTCCTGCTCCTTATGCTCCTCTTTCTCCTCTCTCCTTGCTTGTGTAAACTTTGCTTACTTTTTGGGGCTCAGTATAGACTCTTGTGGGGGTTATTTTGGATCCTCCCCAATTGGGTCAGGAGCTACTCTTCCCCTCCTGGGAAGAGACAGCAGGTAGCAGAGAAGCAGAAAGCAGAGAACAGAGAACACAAGAAAACGCCAACCCAGAAAGAGGGAAGGTTCACTGGGGGCTGGGAGGCCTGCCAGCCCCCTGTCTTCTGGTGCCCCTGCCTGCTATGTACCTCGTTGGCACAGTACAAATCATGTGAAAAAGCTCAATAAAAGCCTGAAAAAGCCACCAGGCTCCAGGGCCCCTCCTTTACCCATCTGCCGGAATCATAGAGAACCTGCTCTGTGCCTTGCTGGCACTCCAGCCACAAACACTACAACGAGCATCCTCAAACTGATAGGAGAGTTCTAGAGAATTTGTGGTCCACATGCTCTAAAATTCAGGGCAGGATTTCTGGGTTCTCTTTAGAATGGCTTTCCAGACCTTACAGGTCAGCCGGAGAGACTTACATATATTCTAGATTGTGTTATCTTGTCAATTTGACATCGCAAATATCTAGCTTTGTTCAGAGTGGCCTTTGTTTAGAAAATAATCCTTTTATTTCTTCTCCAAAATGTATCAGAGAGATTGGTTTTGACTGACCCTAAATGATCCTTTGATAAGGGGCAAATGTGGGTAGTTTTCACCCTAGCATGCATTTTGTCATGTTTTGAGGTGTGGCTGGAGATAGCATCACACACAGGTTGAACTCAGCGTAACTAAATGAGTTAATCAGTTGAGCCTTAGTGCTGAGAAACTTCTAAGTAACCATAAAACTACCTAAATGTCAGTTCATTTTGGAAATAGGGCTACAAATATTGTTAATAGGAAATCGTACACATTTTCGATAACTGCTCTAAATAATCAGAACAAGAAAAGAGAAAGAAAAATTCATGAGAAGGTATTTGTGACCTTGGAGCTTGGGCCCCACTATTCAGAAAATCTAAGTGAAAGAACCAAATTAGTTTTCCCAAGGACAGGCTGTTACACTTCTTAGAATTCAAAACCAATCCTCCTCTGGGCTCTGTGTACTTAATCTTGGTTGTTCGGTGGCCTATTCGAGTTAGAAAAGATTCTGGGGGTGCAGGTATTTTAAAATATATCCAAATTCCTTAGTATATGTTAAGAGTCTTTATGAGACAGGCCCAGTAAACTCATTTGCTCCTCCAGTAACAGGGTGATCCCCAGGAAAAGGGGTGGTTCCAGGTTCCCTGCCCCACCTAAAGGAGGGTGGAGCTGAGCAGGGAGAGAAGAGGCTTCAGAGGAGACTGAGAAGGAAGGAAGCAGGATGGAGCCAGAAGGAGCCCTGGGGGAGGCCCATGGAGCCGAGAGACACGTGAAGAAACTGCGCTTGCCTTGTGGTCGTGGACGGGGTGACAGATGTGGGTGAGACCCGTGGGGAGGTTAACGATGGCAGCTTTTATCTTCATTTTGTTTTTGCCCCTTCTGTCCCAGACGTGGTAGGCCCCTTCTACCCCTTTCTTATGGGTCCCCACTAGGAGGTGCCTTAGACTTGTGATAACTTTCAGGCCTCAGTGCCCTGCTTTGCGCCAACCCTGTTTGACTGGGCGTTTACCCACGAAAGAATGGGTAACTTTGCTGCTTGATTTAAAAACTACTTTATCTAGTCTTTCCCTTCTCTATATTGCACACTAGTTATATTAAAATTCCTTTCCATTGAAGGTCTTATGCACTAGATTATGTTTTGTCTTAATGTGGTGATAGCAGAACCTATTGAGAACAGGCAGGTTTGGGTTTTCTGGGGTATCACTCCCCTCCCATTTCTTGATGAAAATCCACATCAAATTCCACACTGCAGTTCTCCTTAGCATGCCATCTGTGAGCACAGGCTGAAAGGGACTTGTACATGATGCACTTTTTTTTTTATGATTATATTCTTTTTTTTTAAATTTTATTTTCATATTCCTCATACAGTTGCAACCCCCTTATTTGACCCCAACCCCTTGTTTCCCCACCCCCCACCACCCCCACATAGTGTGTCTCTGGTTCATAGTTGTTTGTTGATTTTGATTTTTTCTTTTCTTTCTTACAGTTATTCTTTTTCCTGGTCTCTTATTTAGGTTTTCTAGATTCCTGCTATGAGTGAGACCATCCGGTATTTTTCTTTTTCTTTCTGGCTTATTTCGCTGAGCAGGATCCCTTCCAGCGCCATCCATGTTGCTGCAAATTGCATGTGTTTATCTTTTTTGAATGCTGAGTAATATTCCATGGTGTATATGGACCACATCTTCTTGATCCAGTCATCTATTTTTGGGCATTTGGGTTGTTTCCAAAGCTTAGCTATTGTAAACAGTGCTGCTATAAACATAGGGGTGCAGGTGCTCTTTGGAATTGATGTTTCTGTGTCCTTTGGGTAAATACCTAGGAGTGGAATTGCTGGATCATATGGAAGCTCTATGTTTAGTAGGTCCAGAAATCTCCACACAGCTCTCCATAGTGGCTGGACCAGTTTGCACTCCCACCAGCAGTGCAGAAGAGTTCCTTTTCTCCACACCCTCGCCAACATTTGTTGTTGCTAGTTTTTTTAATATGCGCCATTCTCACTGGTGTGAGATGGTATCTCATGGTAGTTTTGATTTGTATTTCCCTGATGACAAGTGATGTTGAACATTTTTTCATATGCCTGTTGGCCATTTGCATTTCCTCTTTGGAGAAGTTTCTTTTTAGCTCTTCTGCCCATTTTTTGACTGGCTTATTTTCTTTGTTTTTGTTGAGACTCATCAACTCTTTGTAGATTTTTGTCATCAATCCTTTATCATTTGTGTTGTGTGCAAAAATGTTCTCCCAGTCGGGGTTTCTCTTTGTTTTGGTTGTTGTCTCTTTTGCAGGACAGAAGCTCTTTAATTTGATGTAGTCCCAGCCATTTAGCTTTGCCTTCACTATCACTGATTTGGGTGATTGTGTGTAAAGATGTCTTTGAGGTGCATGTCATGTAGTTTTTCGCCTGTATTTCCTTCTATGTATTTTATGGTTTCAGGTCTTATGTCTACATGATGCACTTCTATCTGCTCTCAAGACCTAGGCCAAGCTGCATCCATTTATGAATGCTCTACCCCACCCCAGGTTGGGTATCAGGTATTGCACAGATTGCAATGTTTTGTGCTTATGTCTGCCTGCTGCAGCTCCCACTTAACTGCAAACTTTTTGAGGAAGAAACTGGGTTCTGTCATCATGTCCTAATAGAATCTCAGTGGAGACTCAATAATTCTCTCCAGTACAAGGGAAATCTGCTTTCTTGCCATTAAACATCTGTAGTTCAGATCCTCAAGTTTTTCAAATATTAACTAAATGGCTGAGTAAATCCATACTCTTGTGCCACTGGTTTAATATGTAAGTCATCCAGATGATATTCATCTCTTAACAGGAAATTTCTGGAAACGGAGGCCTCATAGTAGTAGTAATGATGCCTCTGGGATTTACAGATAGCAACATGGCAGCCAGAAGCAGGGGAGGATATTGAAATCAGGAGATCCCTTTCCATGCCATTCAAATGTTCCTGCCTCTGTAAATATCAATATATAGGGATGTCTTTGATAGTTTCAACATTAAACTTGCCCCAGGCTTTATATTTGTAGGTTTCTCAGTAACATGGGTGGATAAACATACAGCACATAGGATTTCTGAGTAGTTATTTGAATATGGATCACATTTCATCATGACAACATGTCCTGATGCTTTCACCCTGAGTAAAATGTGTTTGATGATTTATTTTGTTGCCAAAAGTTCACTGCTAGAAGAGGTGGAAGTGCTATAGCAAATACAGGGATGTGTGTCTCAAGGTGAGGCTTCCTCTGGCCTTTCCTTCTCAGCCCTGAACTTCAGGGCTCAGCCAATCAAAGGCAGGTCAGTCCCAAAGACCTGATGCTTATTTTGGGCCTCTAAGTCCGAGGACGGCCACTGAGTCTGGGGACAGCCACCTCCTCCCATCTTGCATTTGTATTTCTTTCTGGACATTTATTTTCTCCTTTTTTCCCCAGCAGAATGACTTCCTCATCACCTTAGTCCACGTGGCAGAAAACACAGTCACACCTTGGTGTCCACCCCTCAATTCCTATCGCAAAGGCCTTGCGTCAGGATCTTGGGATTCTCACTGGTCCAGAGTGAGGCTGGTGCTTCCTAGTGTCTCAGGTAACTTGGCCAGTGGTGCTGGATGAATCTGAGCAGACACAGCTGCTGGGAGCACCCCGAGACCACAGGGTGGGGGGGTCAGTTCTAGAGAGCAGCACACTGGGCGTTGGCTATTTGCACAGAAGGTAAGTTTTCATAGGCATCAACCTTAGGCTCGCTTTTGAGAAAATGTCAAGTATTTTTCATGCCAACATGAGGAAGAAGGAGAAAAGAAAGAAAGGAAGGGAAAGTGGACACAATTTGGAATCTTGGAATGTGTCTGAGTGCAGGTTCTGTTGTGCAAAGATCTCTGTCTCACACTGTATGTACACACGTGTGCCCGCACACAGACACACATATTGTCAAAGAGACTGTAGTGCAAACACAGTGCTTTCTTGAGGATTTGGCATCTGAGCTTTTCAACACACCCTTTGCAGAAATTTTCCAAGGAAAGTAAATTAATGTCAGGTTTGGGGAAAGAGCAGAGATCTGCTATGGTCATAGTTTTCCACAAGTGCAGACTTCTGGGCTCAAAGCAAAGGCCTCATGGAAAAGGAAGGTGCTCAGACGATTTCATTGGGACTTGAATCAGAGACTTTTTTCCTCTCCTCCACCCTCCGTGACCCCTCCCTCCTGGTTATTTGCTCTAGGAGTCGGGTCAAGAGCCCTGCGCTGAGGAACTCTGAGAGAAGTTAACAATTCAACTCCACCAAGTAATTGTGGGCACTTTCTCCAGCTTGCTCGGGAGGCCCCTCTCTTGCAGGCCACTGAGAGCATAACTATGTGCTTCTCCTTGAGAAAGCTAATGGTGTGCTCAGCAGGGGCTTCGGAATCCTTGGGGCTACCATAGCCGCTCCTTCTGCATGTGGGATAGAGCCCACAACCAGTCTCCACTCACATGTGGGAGTAATTCTGACATGGCAGGGAAAGGTGTCGAGGAATCCCCTCATCAGAGAGAAGGTAAGACCCAGGGGACACAGGAAAGGTACAGACACTCCAAGTTCAAGTCCACGTGTGCACACTCCCTCAGCATCTCTCCTCCTGATTGGTGAACCGAAGGGCCCACTGAAGAGACCATGGTGTGTAGGGTTGGCATCACATCTTAGATCTGTCTGGATACTTTATTTAATTAATTAATCTATTTATTTATTTTTATTTAAAGATTTTAATTTTATTTATGCATGCAAGATCTGTGATGCAGGCCAGAGGTGTGGGGGTTGAAAGGATTCATCAAAGTCAGAGTGGGGAGCAGAATAAGTGGATTGACTAAAATACACTGCTGAGGGGAGCAGCGGGCGAGACAGGAGAGGTCTGCCACGCCATGTGGGTAGCTCCCTGCATGGGGATTAAATTCGTGTTACAGGGGCTGCGGATAATAGCTTCATAGTGTTGTGACTTAACCCCTTGCACCACCAGGGAGGTCCCTGCCTGGACATTTGAGAAAGAGTTGGCTTATTTTTTCACTCCAATACATTTTGAAAATTCCTGATACTGAGCCTCCGTTTGGGGAGACACCCCAAGAAAATACCTTTATATGGAGCTCCCCGTCTGGTTTGGGAAGTGAAGTGTGAACAGATTGAAGGAAGGCTGAGGACAATTAAGTGCTACCTAAGTGTCACTAAGAGGGAGAGCTGCTCTTAACTCAGTTCAGGTATAGGAGAGCGAGGAAGGAAGGAGAAGAGAATCGGGTTTCATGGAGACTCCTCTGTTTTTGCCTAATTGGGTGTGATGGGTATGTTTGCCCTGGAGTAACACACAGTGATTTAGGAGAGGAAGTGCTGAACACTGTTGTGAAAACAGGGACAGGCAGAGAGCCTGGTTTGAGTTGGTTTGTGAAATCTAGCTGAGTTTCACTGTAAACTTGACAAGTGTAGGTTGTGTCTCTCATTCACTGGTTCCCAAAACAGGGGTGGTTTTGAATAGTGAATGTTAGGAGTCACTGGGTAAAGGAAGGGATGACAGAGGGTCTGGCTGAAGGCACAGAGCAGTCACCCTCTGTGCGACATATGGAGCTAATGTCTCCTGCAAGAGGACGTGGCAGGAGGTAGAAGTCTCCAGCGTCAGAATGACCCCAGCTGATGTGCAAATACCTAGGCATCCTGACAAATCATAAGCAACCAAATCCCCTTGCAAGGAAACCTCATTTTTTAACTTGGGGCCTGGAGTGTTTTGTATTCTCAGCACCGCCCCCTCTAAGCCCCTGGAAGACTGGCAGGCTTTTCTAGGTTGATACTGGAATTCAGAGAGGAAGGAAGTTTAGGATCCACGGTTTCCTTAGTGTCACGAAGGTCAGAGGCATTCTGTAGGCTAAACATCTTCTAATCCTTAACTCTCACTCCATCTGTCAGAGGATTCTGCCATCAAATCAAAACAAGCCGGAAAAGTTTCATCAGAGCTGGCGCTGTGCGTTGAGGATGCTGGACAGGTAGCTGCTAGGATCACGACTGCAAGGTAGGCAGACCCAGCGGAGAGTACTAAGCTCCGTCCACCGTCATGCCAGAGCTCATTATCATGAAAGGGGCAAGGTGAGAGTCACATTTACTATGGGGATATCGTTCATGTGAAATAACACAGTCTGTCTCCCAGGAAATGAGTGTTTGCCTGGTAAGGTGTTCTTCACGGTTACTAAGGAGACGGGTTGGGGTTAGCACAAGTGCTTCTTGATGGAGATTAGGATACTGAACTAGAATCAGGTGCCTAATTTTGTTTTTGTGCACTCAACTGGAGCTCACTCTCTGGCCCACTCATGGCGCCAGCCTCCATGCCTGTCAGCTAAAGTTGGGCATTGGCAAGAAGCAAGAAGGATTAAAGAGCTCAAACCCTTCTTGTTGAGGGGTGGAATTTGGGGAGCGAAGGAGCTGTGCTCCCTGTTGGGAGTCTTGAATAAGAGCAGTATGGAAAATCCGGGGGCTTGGAGAGAAGGTGAGGGCATAAGGGACGGCGCTTCCTGATTTCTCTTGCAGAGGCCCAGGTCACAGACACTTCCTTCCCTTCCTGGTAGGAAGGAGTAATTAAGTTAGACAAAGTCAGTTCCTGCTCTGCTCTATGGGTCTTTTCACATTTAACTTATCCAGAAAACATAATAACAAAATAAGATGCCATTTTCCATGGTAACAAGAACAACATAATATTTAACAATTGATTTCACCAAGATTATATCAGACCGCTATAAGAAAAAGATTTAAAATTCTGATAAAGGGTATGGAAAATGATAGCAATAAAGATCATGTTCTTGAATGAAAAAATTAATATTAAGAAGATTACAATTCTCCCCAAATCAATTTCTAACTTCAATGCACTCTCAATCAAAATTCCGGTTGGATTTCCGCCCCCCCCAGGAACTCAGTAAGTTTATGAAAGTATAAAGATTCACAGATAGTTAAGTAAATATTAAAAAAGGAAAAAGCAGGACTTCCCTATTCTGATATTAAAACATACAGCAAATCTGTGGAACTACAAACAATTCAGGAATAGATATATAGATCAAATGGAACAGAAGAGGAAGTTTGAAGATAAACTTGAGCTCGAGTGGGAGTAGATATTTGCAGTGTCTAAAACTGACAAAGGTTTAATATGGAGAGTGTGTGAAGAAGCCTTGCAAATCATTTCTAATAGGAAAATGAACAAAAGATAAGAACAGTCATATTAGGAAGGCGAAAACCCAAAAGGCAACAAGAATGTAAAGAAATGCTCCAATGTACTAATAAACGGAGACATACAAATAAGAACAATGAAATTTGGCTTTATGCCAGCTTAGACTAGGAAATTTGGAAAGCTGAATGATGTCAGCTGGTGATGGGAGATGGAGACTGGGTTATCTAGAATTCCTCCTGCACTCCTGGTGGAGTCTAAACTGCTGTGTGGCCATTTTCGTGATTGATCTGGAAAATTAGGACAATTATATAGCTGTATAAACACCTATTCTGGGCCTTCCTGGTGGCCTAGCAGGTTAAAGTCTCAGTGCTATCACCACTACTGCTTGAGTTCGATCCCTGGCCAAGGAGCTAACCCATATAAGGCACAGTAGACCTCTCTTGTCTTGCCTACTACTCCCCTCAGCAGTGTATTTCAGTAAATCTGCCTCTTTTGCTCCCCAGTCTGTCTCTGGGCAACCCTTCCACCCCTCACACCTCTGGTCTATACCACAGTTCTTCTATTCAAAAACAAATGAACCAATATTAAAAAAAAAAAAATACCTATTCCATGATTAGGTCTATATCCCAGTTATATATATCATACTTGTCCATGATGGAAATATGTAAGGATGCTCAGAACTCATATCTTGCCATATCATTGTGTGCTGGAGAGTTGAAGATTTATCTGTCTATTATGGGAGAATTGCCAAGTAAAATGTGGTCCTTGTGCACCATCTATTTAAGCACCATGCAATAATTGGAACAATGACTGAATGGGCAATAGCAACATAATTCTCTTGAAAACACAGTGCTAATTGAAAAAAGTAAGAAACAGAATAAAATGTGTAACACAAATCATTTCTGCAAGTTAAAAATAACTTACAACAAAGTTCAACAAAACGTTGTGCAAGAAACCATACACAAAGACTGGCGTTAAGCACATTAGCAACATTGCCTTGGGGGAGGAGTTAATGGGGAATACATGGAGACAAGGCGTAGGTAAAATGAAAACCAGAATGACAGACAGACAGGAAGGACCACATAAGGATCAAAGATGATATTGTGCCCCGAGCTATCAAGTGTGGGTGTATGCACCAGAGCTCCACTGCCAGGCTAAAGAAAAGTTTACCTGACCTGCCAGTAAGAACTTTTGAAAGTACCCATTAGAGTTGGGTGAGGAAGACCATTAAGTCAGCAAGTACCTGGGGACAGATGATCACCACCCTGGTCATCTTGGAAGCAAAGAGAGATGGATGTGGCACACGGTGGGGAGGCAGGCACCATTACTCCATGGATAAGTGGGTGCAGGCCCCAGGGATTAGGACAAGTAGCAGACAGAACTTCCCCCAGGCAATCAAGGCAGTAAGAGTGAATTTCCAGTGGGCCCCATGGAGATCTTTGAGGCAGAAACAAGTCACTCAGGCCTACTGAAAATTTTAAAAGATCAGAATGCAATGGAGAGAACAGGAAGCTAGAGCTTCTGGAAGAGGGTCTTGAGTGGAGGCAGTGGGCAGAGGCAGCTGGGCAGCCAGGAGAAGGCATGGAGGGCACAGGGTATAGGGTGGAGCGTCCCAGCCAAGAGGGAAATGAGAACGTTCATGTGCTGTCGGCTCGAGAAGGGCGGACCTGATGCTGGAGGAACAGAGCCAGCGGGCTGCCCCTGCCCCAGAGCTCCTTAGGCAACTCAAGGCACCAGCAATTCCCAGTAGCTCTGACTTGAGACATGTCCTGCCTGGACAGGACAACAGTGCCCAAGGGGTCCCACATGTCTAGAAGAATGCAGCGAGTCTCACTTGTCTGTGAAATTACATCCTCTTCCTCACGCCCTCCTGAGCGTCTCCCTGAAACTTCTGATGGCCCAGTGTGTGGGTTAGTTTTACTCTCCCATGGGTGCCCCAGGAGAGATTTATCTTTCTCTTATGGGAGAATTTAAGGAAGAAATTAAGGGAGACTTCTTTGTTCCCCTGAAGACTGAGGCCAACCCACATTCCCCAGTATTTTAACTCAGATTCTCTCAGGAAACTAAGGCTCATCACCCGGCATATGCGGCCTGCATGGCCAGGTGGCATGGATGTGGGCCATCTTTAGGGCATGGATGTGGGCCATCTTTAGGGCATGGATGTGGGCCATCTTTAGGGCATGGATGTGGGCCATCAGTAGGACATGGATGTGGGCCGTCGTTAGGGCATGGATATGGGCCGTCTTTAGTGTGGAAATCGCATTTCGGCGTGGGTTCTGCGCTGTCTGCCCTGCCAGCTCTCACCACATTAACGTCAGGAAACGCCACTGCATTATCACAAGTTTTCTCGTGTCTGGGTGTGTGTACAGACTTCGTGTATTTTTTGTGTCTGTGTTTCAAAAACAATTCACTTCGACCACAAAGAGGCTTGCTAGGAGGTTTCGAAAATATATCACCGACGGAGACAAGCTCAACCAAATGCCCTCTTGTTTGCACCGATGTGAATCAGGATGACCTTTTCACCCTCTTCAAGAGGATATTTATAAGAACCAGACATGCCACGCATGTTAGGGAGATAACAGGAGAGGGGCAGGCCCAGGGGGAGAGAGGCAGAATGCACCCCGCCCTCTGGAGTGATGCTGGGGAGAACCTGCTAGAGTGCTTACCTTTTCCTAGCTGATCTTTGAAAGAAGGTATTCTCTCTGCCACTGTGCATGTACACAAACACACACACACACTCACACACTCACTCACACACTCACACACTCATCCTGTGATTTTCAGAAGGCAGCGAGTGAAGATGAGTTCTCCAGTTTAGGGGGGATTATTTTTAGCAATGGTAGGAGGTGAGCCCAGGAGCAGAGGGCACTGTGAGCGGAGGGTTAGCATGAGTCGTGGCCTAGTCAGCTTGGTTGCCATCACAAAGTGCGGTAGACTGCGGCATTTAAACAACAGATACTTATTGCTCACAGTTTTGGAAGCTGAACGTCCGAGATCAAAGTGCCCGCAGATTTGGGTTCTGCTGAGAGATTTCTTTTTGGCTTGTTGATGGCGGCGTTCCAACCCTGTCCCCGCCCCACCCAAGGGAGGGTGGAGCTGAGCAGGGAGAGAAGAAGCTGCAGAGGAGACTGAGGCAGGAAGGAAGCAGGATGGAGCCAGAAGGAGCCCTGGAGCAGAGGCTCCATGGACACATGGAGCAGAGACACGTGAAGAAACTGCACCTGTTTCTTGACCTTGGACTTGTACCAGGGACTTGGGGAACAGGGAAGAATACATTTGAAACAGACAGGACAGCGTTTATCTTGATTTCGATTTTGCTCTTTTGCTTCCAGATTTGTCTGGCCATTTCTGCCCCTTTCTTATGGGTCCCCACCAGGAGGTGCCTTAGACTTGTGGCAGGCTTTTGGGCCTCAGTGGTGCTGCTTTGGGCCAAGCCTCTTGTGCTGGGCATTTAGCCGTGAGGGGATGGGTAACTCTGCGTGTTTGATTCAAAAACTTTATTTTTTTTCTTGTCTTTGTTGCACATTAATAGCATGAAATTTCCTTTCCATTAAAGGTCTTAAACACTAGAGTATATTTTGTCTTGACGGGGCGGATGGCAAAACCTATTCAGAGCAGGCAGGTTTGGGGGTCACTACGATACCTTTTACCCTGTCCTGCAACAGTATCACACTGCAGGTTAGGGCTTCAATGTATAAATTTGGAGGGACACAAACATTCATCCCACATCACCCTGGTGTCTGCCAACTGGTCAGTGCCAGCCAGCTAATAGCTGCCCTTGCTCGCCAGGTGAGGACACTCCCGTGTGTGGTATCTCTGCTTCTTGGAGGTCAGCAGCCCTGGGTGGGGGATTGTCA